AACGTATCTTTACATATGCGTATATTTACAACTTGTTAATTTGCTAAAAAAAAAAAATTTAATTATGTATAAATACATATAACTAAACTTGTATATTCATCTCGCATTATTTTTGTACGGTACACTGCGTCATCTCTTCATTGATAAGAAATACTATCAATGTAAACATGTACTTATACACCAATAATTGATCTATTCTGTTTAATTTAAAGTTTTTATTACATATACTAATATTTAAAAAAATGTATATTTATTTATATTTGTAGAAGCGCGAAAACTCAGTGGGCGTTTTACGGTGGCCCCGTAGTCGGAGAATCCGCAATAAAATATCTGAATGAGGTAGGACCAAAGGTATCACATATTTACGAAATATTTAACGAAGGCCCGTGGAAGGTTAGCACTGTGGAAGTGCACATTTCGTGGCCTTACGAGGTCGCGAATGACAAAGCGCATGGAAAATGGCTGCTCTATATGGAAGAGATGCCAACTATCCAAGGTAATACAAAATTCTTCGTTCCTTCAATTGATTCTCTTTATAATACACCAAAATAAAAAAAATGAATAGAAGCTGTTTGTCTAATTGTAAGATTGAAGAATGAGAATTAATTATTCCATTCTTGAGATTCAATTAAAGTTTTGAACTTTACTTATCATCTAAACTCGTCATCTAAAAGACGAGCATTTTACGAGAAAACAAAAAATGCACTGTGTGCGTGCGTGCGTGCGTGCGTGCGTGCGTGCGTGCGTGTGTGCGTGTGGGTGTGTGTATGCGCGCGCGCGCATGTGTTAACCATTTTAAAAATACTTAAAACAAAAATTAATGTTTTTACTTTTAAGAGAATAAAAATTAAGTATAAGAGACTCCATTTATCTTTCTTATTAAAAAAAAAATATTAAAATGCTTTAAAAAAGAAACTTAAAATTTTTATTTCCTGCAGAGTTTGGAAGCTCATAAATAACTTCTAATTATGAGCAATTTGTTTTTCATTATTCAAGCGTTTTGATTCTAGGGATTGGACAAAGAAAAATGTGATAAATATGATATTCAAGAAGAATATGTAGTATATATTATACATATATTACTACAATATTTCTTTCTATTGCATAAAATTTGTTCAATATATTACATTAATACTATTAAATTAATGTGATAAAAATATACAATATTGCAAAATAGCTATATTACACAAGTTAAGCTAAAATAATACATCTAAATACCTATGTTAAATGATTTAGCTCTGGGAGATGGTGAATGTACATTACCACCAGGATATGTAGTCAATCCATTAAAATTACAAGATAATGTCAACTTCGACGATATCGATAACATTATACAATCATCAACTCCATCGACAGTTTTGTATAATCATACTAATCACATAAGAACAACGCGAGATACAGAAAAAGTTGTAAATACGCGAACGATTATTGACAAGGATGGACATCGACATCGTGTTGTAGCGATGGTAAGTTATCACTTACGATAAGTCGTCATTCAATTATATTCGCAAGGTACAATTAGGAGAGTCACATACAGAAACTAAACGCGAAATTTGTAATAAATATACAAACTGATTCATATGATACAAATATAATTCTGGATAAATAAAAGTAAATTAAAAAGAAATACGATGGCTCGATTCGAATAAATCAAAATATAAAAGGTTGATTATCTGGCTCGTTGGCCAATTTTATGTTTTACAAGTAAATTGTAATTGTGAAATAGATACTCTATTTTATTATTTATTATCAAATAGGGTATTTTCTATTTCATTATTTATTGTAAATGTAAGATATTTTTTTTCAGTATTTCTATTCAAATTTCATTTTCAAAAAAGGCAGTATCAAAAATTAAAATATCCTTTATTTGTTCCTAATTTTTTAATTTTAGAATTTCGTTATTCTAAGCTTTCAAAATTGAAAGCTTTTCTATTTTTGCGAATCTATTCTATATATTATACATTTTGATAACAAAACATTTTTCATGAAGCGTTGATGGAAGAATCTTATATTACAGAATTGCAAAGCTGGCACAGCAAAGTGTTTCGATATTACATGTTACATATATAACTTACAGAGGAAACAGGAAGCAATCATAACTGTTAAAGCGAGGTAATAATAGAAATGTAAAAGTGATTATCATTAATTGTGTCACACTAAATCATAAATAGACTTATTAACTTATTAATACGAATCACTCTTAATTATATAATATTTTCTAAGAGCGAACTAATATTTTAAAGCTTAAAACAAACAAAATATGTTAACGTAAATTGTTGAAAAAATATACTAATATAAGTAGTAACATTTATATTTTCCAAATTATAATAAATTAAAGGAAATGGTGGAAATATTTTCTATTGTAAAATTTAAAAAAACATACAAAAGTTCTTAAAATTATGTATTAATATCCTCTATAATTACCCTGTAAGTAGGCGTACTAGCAAAATGACAGCGATTGAAGCAGCTTTGCGCCTACTTAAGGGTTAACATAATATATTAATGTATATTAATAAACACAGTCAAATTTTATCTTTCCCAGACAATTGAATAAGAAATTTATTAATATTAATATTTCAGTTATATTCATTTTAATATTGTAGAGCATCTTATAATCTTCAAAGAAATAACTGATTTCAGGCTTTGGAATTCTACTTTAGTCGAAGACTACCCGAAAGTGGACATGGTTAAAATAGGTTCCAATGCTCGAATAGTAATACCTTCAAACATTGTGATACAACAAGAGAACTTAAAGGATGATTACGCAATTGTAAGCATATTTTTTTAGATATACAATAAATATTTCGATACTTGGTAATTGTCATACTATCAAATCCAAGATACTGATAATTGATAACAAAATTCTAATGTTGCATTTCCAATTTTAAATTTAATACAAAAAGATATGTAAGAAACACATTGAAAACGTTATGATAAAAATCATTTGATGTGTTCTTTTACGTTATATAGGCCGAGACAATCGCTTATCCAGATCTATTGGATCAACAAGAAGCCGAGCCTGTACCAGTGTGGATATATATAGTGGCTGCAGTAGCTGGCATGTTATTATTCATTCTACTTACATTAATATTGAGAAAATTCGGATTCTTCAAAAGGCGACGACCAGATCCGACTTTATCTGGAAATCTCGAGAAACACAGAGACGATAATCCTGAAAACGAAGCATTATTCAAACATTAAGCACTAAATAATCGAAATATAAAACATAGAAACATAAAAACATAAAAACGCAACAAACTCATGATTACTTAAGATTAAGTACTTATGGTATGGAAGAAAAAATGATGAAAAAGAATGTTTATTTACGTATACATTTATTTCTGGTTTTATATTGCTTGAATTTGAAATGCATATTTTGTACATACGCAAGAGCAGCTAAGTACACGAAGATATGATTGATATATTGAAGTTTGTGATATTGTTATACTAAATACATTTTTTACGCACACGACAAATTTTTCTGGAAGAATGTTCAGATTGTATGTATGTATGTATGTATATGTGTATACATATATCATATAAATGCCTTAACGTTACTTTTTGTTAGAGAAAAAAAACGCGTATCGTGTTTAAACAGTTATCAATGAATCAATAATGACTATCCATAGTGAAGAAACGCAATACAAAGCATTAATTAAAAAGTAGCTTTTGTGACATGTATTCGAAAAATTAAAAGAATTTATTTCCTATGTTGTATAAGTTTATAAAGACATTTTTATAATCATGTTAGTTTTAAAAGTTATTTAAAAATATTTATTTTGAATTAACAGATATAATATAAATAATTAAATCAAAAAAAATATCCAATGGCTGTTAAGGCATTTGTAATATCTTGTATAATGAGATAGTCATTTTATTCCAATAGAAAGTATATAGTTATTATTTTTATTCATATTTTACTCGTGTCATAATATATATAAAATAACATTGACATGATAGGAGGGGGTGATAAATTAAATTTGTAATAAAAATCATTCTCTTCGTCCAAACACATAAAAGTGAAATTTAAAAGATAATTTCCTTAAAATTAAAATAAAAAGTAAATAAAATTATTAAAACTGCGAGATATAAGACACACGATGACTCAGAATCGAATATATTATAATAGTTTAAATGCATTAATACCTATTTATCATGTAATAGAACTATTCTTCATTATTTTTTAATTTTTACTTAAAAATATCCCCATCCACACACACACACACACACACACACACACACACACACAAACACAGCAGCAGATCTAAAATCTACTTATATTAAATTATGCAAGGTGTTCGGTAAGGATTGTAACGCTTAAGGATAAATTCTAGAGATCATTTTAAAACGAAAATCCTAATACAAAAATATCGAAACTATAATAGTTTTTTAATAAGCATTTAAATCATACTATCTTAAAATTCAGATATTGTACAATGAAAAATGTCAATCACATTTGACCTTTCACCAATCAGATTTGACGGTACGATTCGCTAATCTTAAATGCTTAACAATTCAAAAATTATTATAGCCTTTTTGATATAAACTTCGTATTAGAATTTTTGTCTTAAAATGATCTTTTATTACGATCTTTACTCTAGACACTTTGTATATAATTATTAAAGCTTTAAGCTTTGATACATTCTCTATCGCAACAGAAATACAAAATGCAAGTTTTAAATATATTGTGAACAACTTAAATATATTATGAAACATGTTAATACGTATATTCGTCGAGATATTTAAATTTAGAATTTTGTATAATTGACTATTATTCTATAAATATGTTTAATATTTGTTTAATATTGCTTAATCTATAAATTTTACCATTCATATAATTGATATGAATTATTAATTGATATGTATTAACATTTTTTGTCATTTTATAAATTATTTGTTATAATTTGATAAAAGAAAAAAATTATTTATGTTGCACATGATATAAAATGTCTTATATATAAAATAAAATTAAAAATGAAAGGAAAAAGATTTCGCACAAATACATGTCATATTTATATTATTAGACTGTCAAAACTGATGTTACGATCTCGAAAACTAATGATGTTACGATCTCTCTGCCAATATTTGTTATACTGCCCTAAAAACCGAAACAAAAATAACAAAGTTTATATATAGGATGTTTGATAAGTAACGATAAAACTCTCGCATAGAGATAGAGCGAACTAAACTGATTATAAATCGGAAAATTCTCTACCATTTTACAATTTTTATAACGATTAATAAGATAATAATTACTAAAAATCGCCGAATATTGTATATCTTCAATAATTTTTACTCAAGTACTATCAACTTTGTACTCAAGTATATCAATTTTACAAAAAAAACAGCATTGATAAAAATTGTTTTTTTTTTCTTCATAGAGTTCTGAGAATTTTTTCTGAATTTTTTTTAATATCGCATTTTCTCATGTTGATAAAATAGTTGTCAATATATAGGGTGTTCCAAAATAATCGCCAAATATTTCATGGACAGGTAGAGTGGACTAAACTAAATCGAAAAGTGCTCTACCATTTTGCAATTTTTGCAATTGTTAAGATATTAATTACTAAGAATTACAGAAAATTAGTCTCCAATAATTTTTTTATTCAAATACTATCAATTTTGCAGAAAAACTGCAAGAAATAAAAATTGTTTATTTTCTTCTCATAGAACTCTAAGAATTTTTTCAGAATTTTTTAATACCATATTTTCTTATATTGATAAAAATAAGAAAATGCAGTAAAAAGATAAAAAAATTCTGAAAAAATTCTTAAAGCTCTATGAAAAGAAAACAATTTTTATCTCTTGCAATTTTTCTATAAAGTTTCTGAAAGTACTTGAGTAAAAAATTATTGAAAACCAATATTCAGTGATTTTTAATAATTGATCTTAATTATCTTGTTAATTATGATGAAAATTGCAAAATGGCAAAGAACTTTTCGACTCAATTTAGTACGCTCTACTCGTATGCGAGTTTTATCGTTACTTATCAAACATCCTGTATATTACAAGATTAAAATTTGTTTATTGTTTAGTAATAGTTTCTTATTATATATACGTATATTCTTTTAGTGATGTTACATGCGATGAATATTATATTTGTCTGTAACTAATAGGTTCTACATACATATTTGCATTTTATTAATATATATAATAAAATTTTATTCTGAAATATATATTGTACTTATATATATTAGTCAAGAGCATATTTCTTTATATATCTTTAACGAAATTTCCTTTGTATTTTAAAATAAAAAAGAATCGGAACAGTTTTTCAAGTATGTGTATTCGTGTGTGCAAAATAAAATTCAAAGAATACTAATAGTTTTCCCTTGATTGCACTAGTGCAACATTCAGACAGTGTAGCGTATTTTCATGGCTGATGATAAGCGAACTCATTTGGTATACCGTGTTTCCGTTGCTATAATGCAAATTTCATACACGAAATGGAATTTTGCTACACCGCGGTGTAGCAAAATCCCATGCACTCAAAGGGATGGAGTAGAGGGAGCGTGACATTTAAAGTTTGAACATGGAAGTTTGAAAATGGAAGTTAACTGGGAGCGATTTTAGCGCAATAATGCAGATTACAGTTTAGCAAAGAAAGCAACTTTGCAATTATTGTAAAATTCTTCAATATGATTAGTTTATACATTTAGATCGATAAGGAAAAGCAAGACCCAATTGTATTCAAGAATTTTACAATCGTTGCAAAGTTGCTTTTTCTGCTGAACGCTGCCAATAAAGTAGTGTATATACCCTATGGTGTGTATCACTTCAGTGCAGTGCAATGCTTAAATGCAACTAGCGAGATACAAGGCGAGATGGGCTACACCTAGTGCATCCCAAGAGAAAAACGCTGTAAGTAAAACGCTTTTATTACAATTTGAATGGACACTATCGATTAAGCGTATGCAGAACTTAATCGGTTATTGAGATAAATCAACCGTTATTGAGATCCAATAAACTCAATCTCCCGCAACTCGCGGTCTCGCGTGAAGGAACCACGGTAGTGTCGTTGCACTTGACTTAGCGCCGAGACACTATCGTGTCTCCTAATATATAACACAAATTTGTTTTTGACAAGGTAAGTAATAAAAGGCAATGATTTTTTATTCTATAAAGAAATAGTTTTAATTAAAATTTCTACTTATTTAGTTTAGTAATAATTTTCCCGTTATATGTATGTATTATATATCTAATGTTAGAACATCATATTTTTTTAAATTAAAATTCATATTTATATTTTTTATCTTACCCTGTATGTATTTGAGTAGACCTACTTAGACCAGCATTATGTATTGAAATTATTGCCTATGACGATCGATATCTAGAAATGATTTGTTACAATACTTTTCCAGATAACAGCAATCTGCGATCACAAACCTGTAAATTGAAATTGAAATTAAAAATAATTATTTAATTGTATTTGTATATGTGTAATCGCAGTTCTATTATACTCAATAATTATGTTAATAAGAATGTACAATAATAAATACAAAGTTCAATATAAGCTTTACTACACGAATTATATTTTATATCATGTATATAAATGTAATTCAAATAATAACGAGAATACATCTGTATTCTACAATTATTTACATGCATACATGCATAATTACCTATATAATAATACTGTTAAGGGAACAGTACTAGCATGCCACAAGGAATGAGCATCAAATATCCAAAAAATAGGAGGAAAATCTGCCAACTCGAGTAGAGTCACGAAAGTAGTTAATATATTGAACCAAGCGATTAAGTATACATAAGGCAACTTAATGCGATTAAGATACCACCACAGCATTGTTATCATGACAGTTGCTAATCCTAGAATCATAAACGGTTCAATTTTATAATGTAGTTTTGTTATCTTCTTGTAAATATAATACATACACACAATTATACATTACAATTACAATATGAAATTTACCTATCGCTACATTAAGCATCATATTATAACCATAATTAATTCTACCTGACCATAAATGTGACAAATGTGTACACAAAATGCTCACGTATCCACAAGTTATTATAATAAATGTTTTAGTCCCCTTGTTTGTTATCCTAAAAATAATTACCACGTACATTAGATTTAATATAAAATAATGAAAATTAATAAATTAAATATATTGTTATGCCGCACCGTGCCGATACCCGTCTCGTATCGTCTCCGAAGATCAGAGACGCGCTATTTATATTTTCTCGATTCTGAGACTTTGAATCCGAGTGTGAGCGAGTTAAGTCGAGAAAATATGAAAGAGCAGTAGCTCAGCAGCTGTTGAAAGGAATTGACGGATTTGGCGGTTGGAAATACGTAGAATCAGAAAGATGAATTTCGAAGAAAGCACATATTTACTTGCATCATGGCACGTCTGAGCGAAGTGACGTTCCAACGTGACGTTTCAAATCCAAATCTATCAATTCTGTTCAACATCCGAGCTATTGCGACGCGCTCTTCATGTTTTCTCGATTTGACTCGCTTGGAAACGATATGGGACGGGTATCGGCACGGTGCGGGCATAATAATATATTAAAAGACTGTCTTTGAATGTATTCTAAAGTTACTTTACTAAATATGTATTAAATTAATTAATTCAATGATTATTTTATATATTTTTAAATATTAGTACGTTAATTATATTCAATAAAAATTTATTGCATATACCTTAAAAGCATGCAGTATAAGAGTGTAAGTACCATACTAAACGCACAAGAATAGTCCATAGCTTCTGTAAATGACCAGTCCCGCGAATGAAATACGGTTGACCAAAACCATCCGTTTAAACATATCTAGTAAAATTACACTTTTTTAAGCACAAATTATGTAATACTCAAAGATCATACAAGGATTAATGTGAACCAAGAGAAAAATGTTTAACGATAAATAACATCCTTAAACAGCCAATTTAAGTACTTGAGGAAATACATAACTAAGAAAATGTGAAAAATCTGTATTGCTTTTTGCCTATAAATTTATTGACCAGAATGAAGCAATTCTTTCCCTGATAAAAAAAAATTATGAAAAATCAATAATCTTTAAATTTTAAATAATTGAAGATAAAGTTTTCGAGAGAGAAAATTTAATTTCAAACACATAATAACATTACAGGGTAGGGGAGGTATTGACAAACTTTTTCATTACATTTAAAATGTATTGAATAGATTTATAATTCGTTAAAATGTGATGTATTAAAAATTGAAAATTTGCAATGAATAATAATATTTAATATTTAGCTTGGCTAAAAAAAGTTTGCAATTTCAAATTAATGAAAAAATGTATAATATATGTAAAAAATTGTTTGATATGTTTTTACGACACTCGAAGATATATATAAATATTGAACTTACAATATTGAAGTACGTCCAAGCATAGAACATAGGATTGGTTTGATCTATCCTTCTTTTAAATTTTCGATACATTATCCAATGTGTACACAAATTTAGTATAGAGAATAAAACTGAAGCAGGCTCTTGACATCCAAACAAACGAATGAATGGCCACTGTAAAAATAAGAATAATCACCATTGTTATTCATATAAAATGGATTATCATAAATGTTATATGAGCAAATGAAAATATTATGTAATATTTCAAACAAATGTTAATCTTAATTCCCTGATATAAAAAATATAATTATAATAAATTTGGCTATTGGGAATTAGTGCTGTACTATGTACGCGATAAATTTCAAATTATTGAATTGTTTTATATCAATGAATTTGTTTTATATCAATAACATTTATTGGCAGTGATTTGATGGAGGTGAAATTATATCATTATTGTAAATGATGATAATTAGAATTTATTTTTTAATTTTGTGAATTACTTGAAGGCGCTTAATCACGGTTGCATCACCCAGCTAGCCAACTGGTTGCGTTTTCACTCTAAGAAATGATGATCAACTACCTCACATGAAAATATTGCAAATACTAAATTAATGAAAATGCAGATACTGTAGCCTTATATACGTCTTATGCTTATCGCTCATCTAATTATATACATGGATTCATTTGTATATACTGAGGATGGCTAAAAAGTTAGCCGAAACATATATACAAATTAATAATTAAATATGTAAGATACAATTCAATAATTTGAAATTTATCACATAGTACAGCGCTAATTTCCAATAGCCAAATTTATAATTATAATTATATTTTATGTAGTATTGATACATTGTAGAAATTAAAATGCTATATAAAAGTAATATATATTCTATAAGAATAATATCTGCTTTTATAGAAATAATATGTAAATAAATGTTTTTATGCAATTATACTACAAGAAAGTTGATTTAAACAAAGATATTATATATATATATTAGGTGTTGGAATTAATTCGTAGCGTTTTACAAGTGATGGGAAGTACTTTCATTAATGTATTTTTTAATGCTCATGTGAAATAAATAACATTCTTTCATTAAAAACGCTACGAATTAATTCCAACACCTAATATATATATATATTTTTTTTTTCTTCCAATAATTAAATCTTTTCATATAATAAAGATTATTACTACATATTGAACTTACCTTTCCATGAAACTGTGGTATGTTCAAACCATGAGATACGAAGTAATCAACGGTTCTCCATATACAAATATAACTACAATCTTCCTTGCAAGACCAGTATAGCAAGATTAAAAATAAAGGAGGATGCTCCTTAAAATTTATTTCTACAACATGCATCATGTAAAACATTTTAAATTGTTAAATACTAAACCTTCAAAAGAAATATTTTTTACAAGTAAAAAAATACATCCAAAATTGTATATATGTATTAATAACAATTGTTGTAGAAAAATATTATTGACTCTATAATAAATCAATATAATACATGACTTGAGAATAGAAAACAAATTATGTTATTTTATATA